GCCTCGGGCAGCGCCCCGAGTAGCAGCGCCCCGCAGGGACTGCAGACTCAGGACTGGGTAAGCCGGGGAGGTCGCCGCCGCCTCGCCCCGCCCCCTTGGGAGACCCTGGACGGCGGCGGGTGGGCCTGGGCCTGGGGGTCGCTTGGCCCGGCCCGGGGTGGGCACCAGGTGGGCCCCCCGGGGCTGCGGGGCTGTGCCTGCAGGGCTCTGTGCCAGGGTCTCCTGAGCGGAGGAGCCGGTGCGGTAGCCTCAGAGCAGTCGCCTCCTAGAGGCAAAATGCAGAAACAGAAAGACTGCTAACCACTTCACAAAGACTTGAGTTACTACTTTCTGTTTTGTAAAAGAAGATTGAACAAGTGAATAAAACCTACTGCAGAGTTCTCAGACTGAAGGCTGTCAAACTACATCCAGAATCTGCTCAACTAATTCAGTGCTCAACTAATTCCCCTTTCTGTATGTTGGAGGAAGTAAATATATGTTACTACAGCATACATTTTTATAGAGTTGATGGCAAGACTACTGTTGTTCAACTTGGATTCTTTGCACATGGCATGCATTGACTGGGTTCTTCTATCATTTCACATAGACCTTTTTGCTTTCTCAGCTGGAAGTCAAGGACTAGGTTGATGGAGCACATGACCACTAATTGTAAAGGAAAGAAGAGTTTACTTCTATAAATGTCACTTCAACCACCAAAAAGAAAAAAAAAAAACAAAAAAAACAAAAAACAGGGAACCAGCAGTTAGCATAATGGCTATGTTGCTGGACTCCCACGTAGTCGACCGCAGTTCACGTCCCGGACCCGGGGGCTTAAACTCATGCCGGGAGCGTGTGCGTGCGTGCCCAAGATCCTGAGAGTAGAATGGAGGAGAAGGGATTGCGGCATGGCCATCCCCCTGGGGGGTGATTTCTCACTTTCTGTCTCTCTGTCTCTCTCCATCTGACTGGCAAGTGCACGTGCCATATAGCAAAAAAAAAAACAAAAAACAAAAAACAAAACCTCTCCAATAAAAAAAGAAAAGAACAAAAAAAGCGAAAGTGGCTTGTGCCATGCAGGTACTGGGGACACTGCGGTCTCCAAGCTGCAGTCCTCGGGCTCTGGGACTGACCTCTCATTAGATCAGCCAGATTGCACATGGGGGGCCGCCTGCTGGGTGGGCAGCCCAGGGTGTTGGACAGGACATGCGGGCCCAGCTGCGGGGGTGCGGGAGTGGGGGACAGAAGAGAGGCTATGGAGCAGTGGGGCTGGTGGCCAAGGATGCACCTGTGTGTGGGGACGTGGCTGACTCTCCCAGCCCTCCGGTGCTGGGCTCTGCTCTCTGCCCCCCCCAACCCCCCCACTCTCAGGCCCTTGGGGAAGTGAGAGCTGCTGGCTGTGACCCTCGGGTGCACGGACTTCCCTCTGTCCCGTGCAGTGCCCTGTCTCCTTGCCCGCCTTGGGTGAACACCCATCACACATGCAGCTGTGGGGAGGTGAAGCCGGCAGGTGCAGTCCTTTCTAACTGCTGGGGAGGGACGGCCTTTTTCCTCGGTGCCCAGAGCTGTGAGAGGAGACGGAGGCGCCTGACCACGGGGACAGGCAGGACTTCTGTCCAGGCAGAACATGGCCGTGACAGTTGCCAGGAGACCAGCCAGCCGCTGGCGTGGTGTTTGAGGCAGCTGCATCCTGGGCCTGGTGACTTGGGCAGCACACCAGATGCGTGTGCGTACAGTCCCAAGTCCCAGGAGGAGACAGAAGGGATGGCGGTGTGGCCGTCCCTCTGGGCATGCTTTCTCACTTTCCGTCTGTCTCTTTCCGGTGAGCTCACATGCCCTATGGAACAACCTAAATAAATACGTAATCCAGCGTAATCCCTGGCTTTTTACAAAGCAGACTTCACGAATCTCAGCGGCTTTAATTCTGTGTTTTGTCGTACACATGCAAGTGCACGTACATTCCCACGTAGCAAACTGCGGTTCGAGCCTGGACCAAGGACTTGGAAATTATGGTGGGCCTGCATGCGTGCAAGCGTGTGCCCCAAACCCTAAGAGGGGACTGGAAGAAAAGGTCGTGCATGGCTCTCCCTCCGGGGGTGACTTCTCACTTTCCTCCTGTCTGTCTGGTGAGCACAAGAGTGCTCTGCAGAAACAGCTGAGCAGTAGGGCACAGCGCCCAGGCTGACAGAGTGCGAGGCCTGGCCTGGGTGGGCCTGTGCGCCCGAGCCCGGGACCCTGACGGGGGAGGGCTGGGGAAGGACTGCAGGCCCAGGCCTGTGGGGGACGGCCCTCGTCCACGTGCTGACACGTGCGTGCACACCCTCCAGCACTGAACACGTAACCTAAGAAGGACAGCATGCCTGGACCTCGCGTGGGGTTGCAGGGGCCAGAGCCAGAGGGCTCAGTCCCAGCAGGAGGACAGGCCCAGCGAAGGCGCAACGCCGCCGAGGCAGCTGCCCATGGACCCGCACCTGAGGGAACGAGTGAGCATGAACTTTGTGCCCGGAAGATCATCTCATATGAGGAATGACAGCGGTGAGCAGGGGAGAGTCTGCCCATTCAGAGAGCAGACTGCAGGGCGGGACAGCGGCAGGACTGGGTGCAGGACCCTGGCAGCTGAGGAATGAGGGGCGTGGCGGGCTGAGACGGAGCCGCCCGGGGCACACGCCAGCACACTGGTTCTGTGCGCAGGAGAGGGGGTGTGGGTCATTTCGGAGCACACCTGAGCACAGGAGGACCAGGACCAGTCTTTGGAGTGTGGTGGGGCGGGGACAGCAGTGCGGCCCAGCCTTCGAGCGGGGAGGGAGAGGGAAAACAGGTGGGGACATGCACAGGTGGGATTCATGGCCTAAAAGCGCCTGCACGTGCCTGCTGAAAGACACCGCGCCCCCCGGGTCCACCATGTGTGTGGTGTGTGGTGTGCACGGCCGCATTCCCAGCAGGGCATGAGGACGGCTCTGGGCGGCCCTGTGCCCTTCACGCCCTGCTTCGTCAGCACGCTCAAGTCTGGGTGAGTGCACCCCAGCCCAAGAGGGGACTGGACAGACACGCTCTTTTCTACTGGCTGCTCCCGGCGTGCTCGCTGAAACATGGGCCGGGTAGACCCCCTGGAAGCTCGGGCACTAGGAGGAAGGAGCGGCAGTGAGGGTCTTGGAGCGAGAAACGCCTTTCTAGGGACCAAGCGAAACCCTTGGAGGAAAGCTGACGAATCTGACTTCAGAGCCCTTACCGCTCGGTGTGATCAGGGACAGGGAGCGCTAGGGATGGTCTGGGAGAAAATTCCTGGAATGTTTACCTGCCACCTGTGCTCAAGAGCACCACCAAGAGGCCAGCAGGTGGGGTGGTGGCTACGGCGCTGGACACTCCCAAGTGCCCAAGTTGGAGTTCTGACCTGGTGGCTTACTCACTTTCTCTGTGTCTGTCTCTGGTCAACTCAAAATAAATGAATGAATAAGGAAATGATTCTTTTCAAAAAAGACAATAGATCTATTTTTAATTTTTAAAAAATTGCTTTATTGGGGGTCCAGCAGGTGGCATGGTGGTTAGGCACTAAACATTCCCACATGGCTGACCACAGTTCAAGTCCTGAACCTAGCAGCTTAACTTTCTCACTGTCTCGCGCTCTCTCTGGTCAAATTAAAATAAACGAACGAAGAAATAAAATTAAATAATTCCTTAAAAAATAATTATTTTATTTAACTTGTATTTATTATTATTTTTTATTTGACCAGAGAGAGAGACACACAGAGATAGGAGGAAAGTGAGAAAGACACAGAAAGGGAGAGGGAAAATGAGCAAGACACAGAGAGAGAGAGAGAGGGAAGTGAGAGACAGGGAAGTGAGAGACAGGGAAGTGAGAGACAGCGAGAGAGGGAAGTAAGAGACAGAGGGAAGTGAGAGACAGGGAGAGGGAAGTGAGAGAGACAGAGAGGGAAGTGAATCTTGGTTGGCCATGTGGGAGTCCAACATCCCTAATCACCACACCACCTGCTGGCCCCTAAGAAATCTGTCTTTAAAAGGGACTAGGAAAGTGGGTAAATGTGATCTTGAGGTTTGCTTGTTTTAATAGAGATCTTCGCTATAGGTCGTTGTGCTTACAGAGAGACAGAAAGCGAGAAATCAAGCCCCAGGGGGATGGCCACGCCGCAATCCCTTCTCCTCCACTCTTCTCTCGGGGTCTTGGGCATGCACGCACACACGCCTGGCATGAGTTTAAGCCACCGGGTCCGGGACTCGAACCACGGTTGACTACATGGGAGTCTAGCGACGTAGCCATTACACCAACTGCTGGTCCCCAATTCATTACTTTTACTCATCCCATTTTGAAACTTTTGGTGAATCTCTTTTGTTCCTTTCCTAGCTTCTTGAATAATGTGCCTGGTCACTGGGACTTCTCACGGTGCACTCAGAGCTGGCGGTCACCCTCCGAGGGTGACTTTGGCTCCCCTGGGGGGTTGTGTGTTCTGTCCTGTTGTTATAATAAACTGGCAGTTCGGTCTTGATTTTTCTCTGAGACTCAAGACTTCATCAGAAGGGTGTGCTGGCACGTCTGTGTCGACGGGTGCCGTCGGCCCTGCTGTCCACGCCGATCCTCCCTGTTTCCGTCCGCTGTCGCACTGCTGAGGTCCGGCCCTGGACTGGGTGACATGAAGAAGTGAGGTGGGCCACTCAGTGGCATGTGGTGAGGTGGCTGAGTCCCCGCTTATTGCCCCGTGGCTTGAGAACCACGCCATTGTGAATGCTGCCCAAACCCTGAAAGGAAGGAGGCGGGGCTATCCCCCAAGGGTGCATGTTTTCTTTCTTTATTATTATTTTTTTTTTGAGATTTTTTTTTCCTGCCAGACAGACAGAGACAGAAAGCGAGAAATCACCCCCCAGGGGGGATGGCCACGCTACAATCCCTTCTCCTCTCGGGATCTTGGGCACGCACGCACATGTGCCTGGCGTGAGTTTTAAGCCACCAGGTCCAGGACTCGAACCATGGTCGACTACATGGGAGTCCAGTAACATAGCCATCGTGCCAACTGCTGGTCCTGGGGGCTCTCTCTCGCACACACACCCTCGGCAAATTAGAACAAGGAAGGGTTACTCAGCTCCTGTTTTGGAGGGCCGAGGGCTGGGCCGACTCTTGGAGGGTCTGTGGCGGGCAGGGTGCGGGCCTAGGGCAGAGCGGCCGTCTGGATGCGTGGAGGCCCTGCCCTGGTGATTTGGTCACATCCCAGGGCCCCATGACGAAACTGAGTCTCCACTGAACCCCTTCACAATACACTTGGCTCCCAACACGCACTTTTGAGGCTCAGACCGCACCCACAGCACAGCCGTACTCACGTGGCTGGAGCCTGCCGTGTGTCAGGCGGTGTGTGCTGTTGCCTAAGCATGGCCAGTGTGTGTGACAGTCGTCCGTGGTCAAAGGGTTTGAGGCCAGCCGGTGGGGTGGTGGCTAGGACGCTGGGTCCCACGTGGCTGACCGCAGAGCTCGAGTCCCAGACCCTGCAGCTTGAGAAACATGCCAGGAGCGCGTGTGCATGCCCCAAATCCTGAAGGAGTGGAGGAGGGCTGCTGTGTGACCATGTCCCCGGGTGCTGCTTCCTCACATTCCTGTCTCCCCAGCAAGCACAGAGGCCCCCTGGCAGATGAAATTTAGAAAGAGCTCGGCCTATGTCCCCTATGTGTGGTCAAGTAGTCCGTTACTTACCTCGTTCTTCCTTCCGACTTTGCTCCTGCTCTGAAAACACAGGTGTGCACGGCTCACCACAGCAGGCCTGGGCCCTCTCGGCTCTTGTAGGCATTCCTTCCTCTTTCTTTAAAAAATAAATCACGACAGAGTGAGTGCTCGGGCACGGGCCGTGCGGGGTGCAGTCCCACAATGACCCCGGCCCTCCAGCCACAGAAGCTTGGGCCAGCTGGGGATCGAACTGGCACGGCCGTGTGGGGCCCAGCTTCTCAGCGACGCACTGTGCACCAGGAGCTAGCCCTCGCAGGCGCTTATGGTGCCGTGAATAAGCGGCGTGCCCGTGCTCAGGCTGCCACTGGGTGCCTGCCCATTCTGTCAATGGCCCGTGGTGGAGACAGGGTCAGTCCTCTCCCCCACGCACCTCTGTGGGCCGCGCTGGGCTTGTCTGGGGGTCTGCTCCCAGGGCCGGCCGCAGCGGGACTGCACGCCCTGTCGCTGAGCCCTGGGCCCATGCTGGCAGGTGTCCACCCCTGACAATTCCTTGTTCCCACCACCCTCTTCTTTGCCCTGCAGCCCCGTGACCTTGACTTCTTTCCCAGTGTCCAAATCTGTGGCACTCCCCCCACGGGTGACCAGACAGTGAGTCCTCGAGAGCCCCAGTCTCTGCCCGGGAGCCCAGCTGCACCTTCGGCCTGGCACGGCCCTGCTGTCTGGCCTGCAGTCCGCTGCAGGCCCTGCGCCCTGGCCCTGGGCTCCGTCCCCCACAGTGCTTGTTTTGCTTGCTCTCATCTGGGGTGCGAGAGCCTCTGAGCCTTCCCAGACTCGAGAGTGAGAGTGTCCTTGTTCTCTGCCACGTTCCAGGGCATGGCAGCCAGCCGATCCCAGCTCGGGCCGCCTTTCTGTTTCACTGTTTGCTGCAGTGCTGCGCACTCCCCAGAGAGAGGGAGACAGGGCGAGGGAGGGAGCACCCCAGGGAGACGGCCTCTCTGCAGCCCTCCTCCATCTCATCTCTGGGTTTGGGGCACATGCACACGTGACAGCGTGTTTTTCAAGCCACTGGGGTCTGGCACTTAAACTGCCAAGTGGGCCATGTGGGGCCCAGCAGCCCGGACCCCCAGCCCCACCGGCCCCCAGGGTGCTCACGCTGCTGAGGGTGCGGCTCCGTGCTTTGTGTCTTGCAACCCTGAAGCCCTTCAGCCACTGCGCACCATCTCCCTGGCCCTCACCAGTTCCCGGCAAGCTCCGTTCTAGTTTCAGTCTCTGCGGACTGGACTGCCCTGGTACGCTGTCTGAGCGTATCACAGACGTGGCCTTGCGGCTCCCTCCATTTGGCGCGGGTCTGCAGGGTCCATCTCGGAGTTGCGGCGTGTTCCTTGTGCAGGCCGCCGGCCCCCAGAGCTGCCCGCGGCCAGCACGTGCAGGTGCTCTCGCCGTCTGGCTGCTGTGGTCGGGCTGGTGAGCACTCGGGCCAGCAGCTGGCCTGTCCTGAGCGCGTGCGTCACCCGAGAGGCTCCAAGAGCTGGCTCTGCAGGGTGAACCGGCTCCTCTGGACGCAGCAGGGAACTGCAGAGTGGGGCACGGGCGCAGGGCGGCCATTGCTTCCCGGGTTATCTTTTGAAGACCAAGTCCCTGTGAGCTGCCTTGGAACTCCCACATCGACCAGAAGCCCATTGCAGGCGCGGTGGCTGCTCACAGGCGGAGCGGCTGTGGTGAGCGTCCTCCAGGAAGCACATCTGGAACAGCACTGGCTCCTCATGCCACAGGGTGCAAGGCCTCGCTGGAGGCAGAGGTGGGAGGAGCGGAGAAGCACCCGGGTGGGGCGTGGTCTCCGCAATCTCTTCTGCACTCCTCCATGCTGCTGGGATTTGGCACACACATGTGCCTGCTGTGCTTTCCAAGGCACCGGGTCGGGACTCTCGCTGCCTGGCGCCTCCTGCTGAGTGTAGGGCCTTTCGGGACTTCCCCCTCCCCCCCTCCAGCGCTTCGCCTGAGCTTCCCATGTGACCAGTGTGGTGCCTGTAGGATAATTCTACTTTTAAAAAAGAATTATTTATTTACTTTTATTTATTCATTAATTTATTTCAATTTGATCAGAGAGAACACAAAGAGGGGTAAGTGAGAAAGCAAGCCACCACCAGGTCCAGGACTCGAACCGTGGTCGGCCATGTGGGAGTTTTCCAGCGCCCTAACCACCTTAGCCCGACTTTAGCCTGGCCCTGCCCCGCCCCCAGGTCCCCTAGCAGGACCTGGCAGGACAGCGGTCTCTGGCTGCACAGAGCTGGGGACCTTCAGGGCAGCTCCCGCATCTCCATCCTGAGGCAGGGTCCTCGGCCCCGCCTCCACCGGTCCCCGCTGGGCCTCCTGGGCTGGGCCTGCTGTCCCCACGACCTGACTCTCACGTACGTCAGGGCCAGGCAGGAGCGCCCGGCGCTGCAGCGGGCTCCCTGGGGCACGCAGGCGGGCCGTGCTCCAGCCCAGGGTGCCGGCTACAGGGCCGCACAGCCTGGGGCAGGGGCAGGTGCTGGTGGGCTAGGCCCTGCGCTGGGGCAGGGGTGCTGGAGGGCGCGAG